TATTTTTTATATTTAAAGCGAGTTTTTTGGGCAGTGTAGAGTAGGGCTTGTTGTTTGTCATTTCTCCGATCACAAATGCAGACATGGTTTTATGTTTACGAGGCGCGATGCAACGCAACGCGTAAAAAGACAGTATAAGTCATTATAATCCGTAATTATGTCCCCACTGGATGCAACAAATGCCTCGTTTATAATGGGTTTTAATATTTTTGTATCTTCGATCCGGCCGGACAGGGCATCACAATATGGTTGGGGCGTAACATTTCCGTCACACGCTTGAGGTATTCGGCCAATCACAACGCACTGGATAGCTGGCCAATCAGAGCACACCTTGCTTTTCAGACCGATGAGCTTTGTAAAAATCGACGCGTTTCAGAAAGGCGGGGCATAGAGGAGAAACAATAATGTACAGTATGTGGAAAATAATTAGTTTTTTGAACATTAAACCGCATAAACACGTTTCATTACACCAAATACACAAAATAATGTTATTTTTAGCAGAATCATATGACCCCTTTAATACTTTTCCTTTTGTTATACTGGGATAAATCATATCGAGATGTATGCTAAAATTTTTGGATGTGGCGCCTCACCTAGAAAATTTTCCACCAGCCGCCACTGGTTGCATATATTATAATAATTTTTGATTTTTTTTTATTTATTTTGCACCATGTTATCATATTTAGTCAGACGATTATATACGCATCACAAATCCTGTAAACTTACAAAACCCTATCCAATAAAAAAATGCACCAATTCTCTTTTTCCCCTCATTTTTCTTTTGTTTCTGTTCAGTACGACACCAAGCGCAGGATTGCGGCCGAGTCATCTCTGAGACACTCTTACTTCCTGACTCTGGGCGAGAACATTCACTCCATACCTGACAGTGAGTCTATCCCAATATTTTCATCATTTCTAGATTCTGCTTATATAACATCACCTTAACACGAGCCTTATAATCTGTCTTTCACCTTGATGAAACGACAAACAAGACAATACATTTGCTTTGATCATCAGCCACTTGTCTTCTATTCTCTCTAGCCTCGTCTGTGTTTTCACTGAGGGAGATCCAGCTACAGAAGGATCTGGGACACAAGAGCTCAGTATTTCAGCCGCTGGGTATTCAATTGCATTGCTTTGACATCACTCATCTCTATTTGCAGAGCGCAACTTGATCATGTTTAGTCATGCACATTAATCCCATCCATAAACCTGTAAGATTAAATGCTTTAAAACATACTCACCTGCACTGCATACTCCGTCTAACAGTGGCTCATTTTCTCCAAATCCAGGTCGAGGCAAGAACCGCAGACAAAGCATATTCTGAAGACAAGAATCAAAGTGGTGTGCATGAAGAGATCGCCAGAACAAAACCATTATGAAGCAAACAACTTTTTTTTCTCCATTCAAAACATGCATGCATCCATTCACATACACACCAATTTATTAGTCTGTACTTCAGAAAACGGACTGAATAAAAGTGAATCATCCTCAGTCATAACATGCGCTGGTTACAAGTGTAACCAAGGCTAAAACAAATCTCTCCTGCAGTCTATTGTAAACCTAAAAACCACACTGATCCTAAAGCTCAAAGCTTTATATTTTTGTATCTTCGATCCGGCCGGACAGGGCATCACAATATGGTTGGGGCGTAACATTTCCGTCACACGCTTGAGGTATTCGGCCAATCACAACGCACTGGATAGCTGGCCAATCAGAGCACACCTTGCTTTTCAGACCGATGAGCTTTGTAAAAATCGACGCGTTTCAGAAAGGCGGGGCATAGAGGAGAAACAATAATGTACAGTATGTGGAAAATAATTAGTTTTTTGAACATTAAACCGCATAAACACGTTTCATTACACCAAATACACAAAATAATGTTATTTTTAGCAGAATCATATGACCCCTTTAATACTTTTCCTTTTGTTATACTGGGATAAATCATATCGAGATGTATGCTAAAATTTTTGGATGTGGCGCCTCACCTAGAAAATTTTCCACCAGCCGCCACTGGTTGCATATATTATAATAATTTTTGATTTTTTTTTATTTATTTTGCACCATGTTATCATATTTAGTCAGACGATTATATACGCATCACAAATCCTGTAAACTTACAAAACCCTATCCAATAAAAAAATGCACCAATTCTCTTTTTCCCCTCATTTTTCTTTTGTTTCTGTTCAGTACGACACCAAGCGCAGGATTGCGGCCGAGTCATCTCTGAGACACTCTTACTTCCTGACTCTGGGCGAGAACATTCACTCCATACCTGACAGTGAGTCTATCCCAATATTTTCATCATTTCTAGATTCTGCTTATATAACATCACCTTAACACGAGCCTTATAATCTGTCTTTCACCTTGATGAAACGACAAACAAGACAATACATTTGCTTTGATCATCAGCCACTTGTCTTCTATTCTCTCTAGCCTCGTCTGTGTTTTCACTGAGGGAGATCCAGCTACAGAAGGATCTGGGACACAAGAGCTCAGTATTTCAGCCGCTGGGTATTCAATTGCATTGCTTTGACATCACTCATCTCTATTTGCAGAGCGCAACTTGATCATGTTTAGTCATGCACATTAATCCCATCCATAAACCTGTAAGATTAAATGCTTTAAAACATACTCACCTGCACTGCATACTCCGTCTAACAGTGGCTCATTTTCTCCAAATCCAGGTCGAGGCAAGAACCGCAGACAAAGCATATTCTGAAGACAAGAATCAAAGTGGTGTGCATGAAGAGATCGCCAGAACAAAACCATTATGAAGCAAACAACTTTTTTTTCTCCATTCAAAACATGCATGCATCCATTCACATACACACCAATTTATTAGTCTGTACTTCAGAAAACGGACTGAATAAAAGTGAATCATCCTCAGTCATAACATGCGCTGGTTACAAGTGTAACCAAGGCTAAAACAAATCTCTCCTGCAGTCTATTGTAAACCTAAAAACCACACTGATCCTAAAGCTCAAAGCTTTAAATGGAAAGACATTTAGACTTGAGTTCAGCCTCTTCTCCTCCTGGATCTAGTAGTACTTTCAGACGTTCATAGTATTTTTAATTGTGCGTGAATGTGTATGTGCAGGAAACATGGTAGCGTCATGCCCTACTTTTTCCATTGAGTGAAATCTCCTTCATTTCTGTTTGAGGTTTAACTTGTTTTGCCATACGTGTTTGATCATTGCACAAGCTGATATTGCGGTTTATTTCATAAGCATTCATTCAATACGATAATACAGAGAAGAGTTGAAACATTAAAAATGTAAATTGTCGTATAAATATTTGAGCCATTGAATAGAGAATTACTTGAATTCTGTCATGATACCATTTAAGTTCAACTACTAAAGGTGCTGCAAGCGATTCTAGAACAGAATTCTTCTAAATCCCACCCTGTCCACAGAATGATTGACAGGCAAAGAGTGTATCTGGCTAGAAAAAAAAAGCTATACTCGCTTACAGCATCTTTAACTAGTTATTAATTTATGAAATCTTCAAAAGGTGCCTTTTGCAGACCGTAAGAGATGATGGGGTCCAATTTTACGCCTTTCGAAAAACCATCTACTTCAATCTCCTCAAGGATCTCGGTCCTTTCAAGTAATTGCACATGCAGATATTGGTTTTGCCATTTAAGCTAATTGCTACTCCGTATGGCATGCAAGTGTCTAGACCTGAAACCTAATGTCGTTCACCTTCTCCTACTGTATTTTGTAGTTTAAAAATGAAAGCACTATGACTCTTTGTTGTAAACGGCACTGAGCACAAACTAGTTTTACAGTGGACAGAAATGAAAAGCTTTGTCATTTAAAGGCCACCAAGGAACAGAAATATTGAGAATGACTGACAAAGGGGAAATTCTATAAAATAATATGACTTAAAAGGATTTAGTTTAACGTTACTGCAGCAGCGGCACTAATTTACGTGTTTTGTGGTAAATGAAAATATTTTAAATACACTATTGAAAAGAATTAATATATAAATATATGTATTTTGACAAGTGTTTTCTTTATTCTCCGTGAACTTTTGCCAGAAAAAAAAATAAACTAGGGTATTAAATGAACTTAGATGCTGTCTAAATGTTTTATAAAAGATTTAGATTTTTGTATGAAATGTGATATTCAATATTTTGTGTGATTTGTCTATTCTTTTATGATATTCTGAAGCTGAATGTATTGTGACTGCGAAAAATGCCAAAAATAATTAAATAACAAACTAAATAAATGATGACGTTGAGTTGAACCATGGGAATGTGACTACCTTTTTCTCAAACTTATTTATGTATGTATGTGTGTATATATATATATACATAATTTTTTTTTTTTATCCTTTGTTACCCTGGCTTTGTATTGTTTTGTATAATGTCGTTTAAAGCATAAAAAAGAAGAAATACAATAGTCAAACAATAGTCTTACTGTCTTGAATGGTAATATTTGTCATTAGTACACTTCACAAAGTAAACTTGAAATAGGATTTGGTCTACTCTAGGCAATATACTATCAGCAAGATAAACCTGTGTGCAAATAAGTGTGTGCGTTACCACAGCTGCAACAAAAGACTCGTTGGACCTGTCAGATGCACTCGGTACGGTTCACACGAAAATATCTATAAAACAAAACAGTCCAAATATGCGTGACGCCCCAGGCAGCAGTGCGTGATTTCTTACCCTCACATTTATGTTGACTCTTCTCAAACTGTTGGGAAATGGGAAACACACCTGTCGCACGGATCTGTTTGAATCTTGAATCATTTCGTTTTCTTGAACCGGTTCGTTTGAGTCACGAGTCGACAGTGTTATTTTTGGCCAGGTCCAGGTTTGATTCAACTTGTGGCACTGATCTCCTCCTGAGTGTTTTTTTTTTT